CCTTAGAAGACCTGATAAAAATTATCTTGAATTATACCTATCAGCTATCAATCTAATAATTTCCAAAATCTTTTTCTCTGTTCCTACAACAGTATTATATTGGCAATAATATTGGCTCAAATCAAATAATAATAATAATAATAATAATAATAATAAAAAAGCTATTTTTAATTAAGTGAACACCAATACGTAATTATTATTATTTTTTTTTTTTGACATAAGCCTACGTGTTGATTTAGTATCAGCTCCAGTGCGACGGTGCCGTTTCATTTGCAGATAATGTACAATAAATGGGCAGGCACGACAAGATTCATTTTACATAGCATACCCTAATTACGGCCCACGTAATTCCACTGCCTGCACGGCATCGGTGCAGTGTACGTGCAAAAGTTGATTTGACCTTTTATTTCGGCCGGTTTTGTTTTTTTTTTATAAAATGTACGTATATCATAATATCGCGTTGTGTTTCACAGCCTATACGTACCTACTCTGCGTACGTTCCGTTTTCAATTATTTTAAAACAGTGACTTTCAATCGACACAGTGTCACGTACATTATACGCACAATGTCCCTTTTTTGCAAATGAAAAACACCACCGCAGACACGTCGGTTTACGAGTTCCTTATAAACTTTTCCATTTATATAATACGTTCGCCCCACTGCCTCTACAGAACCATACGTGGAGGGCGTGGGGTGTAAAGTGAGGCTTGGAAAAAAAAGTCAACCTCACCCCGTGATTGTTGCCTCAGCGTATTCTATCACTGTACATTGTGATAATATGTCTTATTGGCCCTATATTCGAATTTTCCACTCCATCCGTCTTCATCGAGCTTATCAACTGTATCGGTATTTCCGAACCTTAGATGATAAGAAGAACACTTATTTCGGATTAATATTTTCGAGAAATCTCCTCAGCGACGATAATAATTTAATATTTTGAATTGAAATATTACGCCATACAAAAATATGCATCCGTAAATTCAACAGTGCTATTTTCACGTAAGTTTCCCCAGTCCTGCCCCTCATATAAAATGTTGTACGTTTTTTTGTTGTTGAGAGAAACGAGTGCAAAATGTTTCCATAGAATTTTCACAGTTGATACCCATTAGCCAATAATTTTTATGAAAATAATAATGTTTACACACTACTATAGTAAAAAAAAAAAAAAAACATAATATCTTATAAGCTCCTAAATATATGGAAAATATTGCTGATAATAATAGTACCTACCTACAAGAACCAAATAAATGATTATTCCATTCTACTATCATATTACTGGGCATTTTTTTTTAAAATTTTAAAATACTCATAATTTTGTTTCCTTATTCCAATTATATTTTATGGTTTTTATTATTCCTTTTTTCTTCTCAGCTCATTTGAAATTTTTTCTCAGGACAAAATGCTTGGACCATAACAATATATTATAATTATAATTATTGTACAAACCCTGGAATTAATACTTTTCCCGTGACAACATAAAATCATGTTTTGGGATAACATACTTAATGTGAAAAGTCACAGCGCCTCCGAAAGATGCTCGCAGAGTCATAAATGTACACATGCAAAATGACTTTCAGTGAGGAGATCTACAGCAAAGGCGTGTGTTCTCGGTAACGTGCATCACTTGCTCTAACTACGGTACCTTTGAACTGTAATTTATCTCTTATTAGTGTGCGTTACTATTACTTCTCGTCCGGGGGGACATGAAAGGATATTATATTGGTACATTTCTAAAGGGTGAGTTTGCGATGTTCAAACGACGATGGAATGACTAGCCGGCCATGACCAAACTAAATAGGTATTTAAAATGTAAATATAATATTACCTATATCGCAGACAAATTCAAAAAAAAAAGAAAAAATACAGCAAAGTCTGACGAAAATACAAATCGCACTACTAATCAATATTGCTGAGTGCGACGCAAAAAAAATAAAATGTCAGATATTGTATCTACTCAAGTAGGAGTTAACTAGTGGTATACTTTGGGTAATGATTTAAAACGTAACAAAACTGTTTTTTTTTCGGTTGTTGTGGTTGTCGACAAATCCGTTTCATATATAATAACTGTCAAGTTGACCATCGACCGATTAATAGCCGAAGAACACATAATATGTATAGGTTTATCTACTGGTTATGCGAATAATATTGTTATTACTATTATTACGGTACGAGATGGTAAATTGTGATGGGCTCTATATTTGCCGAATGAGTGTAAAATATAATAATATCATTGACATTAATATCCACTGGGACTATCCACGTTGAGACGTATATCAGTTGATGTGGCGATCGGCATTTCGATCACACATCCCGGAGCTTCCATTAATATTTTCGAAATTAGATGACATGTCGTTTTATGATTTCGGTCCCGTCGGCCAATTGGAGTAGAATACGATTTCTCGTCGTCAAACAGTATATATTGGAGTTCAAGACGTCATATTATTATGTCAGAGATATGTCTGGAAATTCGAAAATATATTTCTTCTGCACGTCAAATCATCTTGTTACACTCCAGATATGGTTCAATCCGATAACATTTCTTTGAAATAAAATTAATAACCATAATAATAATAACTAGGTAGGTAACTGACACGAACGCAGACATCATGATGACGGTATAGTTAGGTTTAAGGTCAAAATAATATCTTTAGTCAAAATATCTTGAACGATAATAATATTAGCTCTGAGCTAAATATGTGTTATAAAATATATTAAGCGACTTTAAAAACTGATTTTTATTATACCCGTCTAATTGACTCAATGATAGTATGATCAATAATCACACTTAAAACACATTTATTTTCACTAAATTGTACTAAATAAATAATAGGTGATAAAATTAATTATTTAATCAAGTATAATATCATTATTAAAATAACCAAGAATGAAATCAATTTAACAATATAGTAGGTGCTGTGATGGACACACGCCTTTTTATATAGGGTTCCTACTTTGCAATCGAAACTACTATCGTATTATCATACGAATCAATGTTTTAATATTGGACTCAACAAAACCAAATAAAACACCGTGGTGCGAATAGAAAAAAAAAACTGTAATTATGTGTGTAATTGTATAGTGTTTGTATTATGTATACCGTTGTTGATTTGTTTGGTTTTTACTATGTTCAGAGTGTATTATCGATTAGTACCTCGTGGCGGGTTCAGTTTCTGTAAGCATTACACACAATTCATAAGCGCATGATTAGCAATAGAGATGGTTTGAACCAGAGCTGCTTATTTAAAAACACGTTTTTCGTCCTTAGATCGTAAAGATACACGCGATGATTAATACATCCATTAATTAGAGCGTAATATTAGACGATATATATATATATACGTTTTTTTTTTCATGTATTTTTAATTTCAAATAATCTTATACCTCATAAATTATAATATTATTACTATCAAGACTTTTGTTCTTGTCTCAATAATCTACGCTTTGGACGAAAAGTGTTCTTAAACTCGCCGAGTCCGTTCAGTAATTAATGCGAAAAGCAATGGCACTGGCAGATCCAACGTCTTACAAGTCTTCATTAATCATCACAGTGATTTAAAATCACAGAGTTGTGGAACACGGGTTTTAAGAGCCATTATACTGTACACTGAGACGTTAAGTACAATAATGGCAAATAGACAGTTTGATTAGGAGTGCCACCACAGAACTTAACGTCTCTTCCATAAGAACTTTGGTAGGGTATTTGTGAATAATTAATTTAATTTAAATGGAAATATTATGCGCAACTAACTTAAATTAAACGATTTCAACTAGCTAGTTCAAACGGCCATACCTACTTACGTTACCTCAGATGGAATTTATGAATTATATTTTGTTTAATTTTGTTTTTGAGATGACAAACCAAAAAACTATTTTGAATTCGGTAGTAACAAAATAACTACTATTACTTTTATCTACATTTAAAGTGATAATCATATTGAATTCGAATTTTTGTTTTTCGATAAATTAAAACAGTTTATAAAACGCACAAAACGCTAAAAGAGTTTAATAAAATGTGATGGGGATGGGCTTCCGACCCCCATAAATAGCCATTGTCGTGCAGGGTCTGAGTAAGCTACGTCTGGACCAATTGAAAAATAATTCAATAACATAACACGTACTAATGTACTATTATTATAGGTAGCAGACACACTCAACCATCATTTTTTAGTAAAAATATGTATTTACATAAAAATACAAGACCTAATAATTGTTAATTATTGAAAATTATCGTTATTTCGTATTATTCATGCACAGATCGCAGATAATGTATGGAGTATTTGAGCATAGATCTTAAACATCATTGTATTTTAAATTCTAATTGTGGCTGATAACGATATCATAGTTGGGTAGGGTACTAAGGTGGAAATTTGGCAAGCAAATTACAGAGATTAAACGGTGAACCCTAATAAAAATATTATATAGTAAATATAATTTATCGATCGATTTAATATGCTTTAATGAGATGTTTTTTTTCTTATAGTCTTAAAAAGAAAATTTAGCATTTTTAACTGTACTCAAACAATATTGCATATAAATGTTATATTATGAAAAGGGTTGCCATGAAAATAAAAATAAACGAAAAGTAAAATGTTATAAATTAACAGTATTACGAAAACAAAAATTTTTCTGCACATATTTGTACATACAATTTTTTTTCAACTGGTCCAAACCTGCCTAGACACGAAAAAAATAACGGTTTGGGATAGTGTAAGAGAATGCCTCACACCCTTTTTGCAAGTTCGCCAGTTTTCTGCCAGACCACGCGTAAATGACATCACAACGTCAAAAAAACTATAAAAAACACATACACAAGCTTTGCGCAAAAGCCAAAGCACCCTAGACAGGAACAGCTAGGAACACAACATATATATCATAATACCTAAATTACAGGTTCAGTAATATAAATAATATGATAAAGGCGACGACCCCGACGGAGACTACTAAAAAGTCACGTCAAAGGTCGCGCGAGCGTGGCCATAACCACGTGTTTGATATCTCACCGACTTTGGGTCCCGCCCCGTCTTTGGGATGATTGCTCTTGATGGCGTTCATCCGCCGGTTGACGGCCGGCACGCCCGTCGTGTTGACCGGCGCTCCGGCCACGTTCGGCGGCAGACCGCCGACGCCGGCGCACGGCCCGTGGCCACCGCCGCCGACGCCGATGCCGCCCATGCCGCACCCGGGCTGGTTCATCTGTTGTTGGGGCGCCGGGCCCTGGCCGGGCAGCCGGGGCCCACGGGGCTGTTCGACGGGCAACACCCGGCGCCGCTTCTTGGGCAGCTTGGCCCGGGCCTGCGTGTGCGAGTAGTACATGGCAAAGTTGGAAACGATGACTGGAACGGGCAGGGCGATGGTGAGCACACCGGCCAGCGCGCACAGGGCTCCCACGAACATGCCCACGTAAGTTTTCGGGGCCATGTCACCGTAACCGACGGTGGTCATCGTGACCAGGGCCCACCACAGGCCGAGTGGTATGCTGTTGAAGTCGTTGTGCGGGTTGGCCTGGATGCGCTCCGCGTAGTACACCAGGCTGGCGAATATCACGATGCCCAGCACCAGGAAGAACACCAGCAGCGTCAGCTCCTTGGCGGACGCCCGGAACGTCTGCATCAGGATCTTCAGCCCGGACGAGTGTCGGGTGAGCTTGAACAGCCGCATGATCCGGATGATGGAGAAGAACTCGAGTATGTCGGCGTTTTCCAGGTGCGACGCGAACTTCTGCAGTATCAGGTCGATGTAGAACGACAGCGTGGCGATGTAGTCGATGATGTTCACTGACGCCTTGACGAACTCACACTTGTTCGGCGACGCGATGAACCGCACCATGATCTCGAACGTGAACCATGCGTTGCACACGCACTCGATGTAGAAGAACGCCTCGTGCGCGTTCGTCTGCGTCTTGTCCAGCACCCAGGCGGTCGTGTTGTGCGAAGTGTTCACCGTGATGTTCTTGATGATCGGCACCCGCATGTTCGGGTGCGTTTTCAGGCAAAACGACAGGATCGACACGCATATGAAGAACACGGACACGATGCCGATGATCTGTAAGCCAATCAAACATCAACGAAAATTAGCAATAATAATTCAGCGTCATAATTGATTAGATAAAGTGTTTTTTTTAGCAGTGTACGTCTGTCGCGGCGAACCTGAATTTCAGGGGGGAGGGGGGGGGGGGGAACCATAATATTTTTGGGCCCTCTCTTATCGAGATATATTGTACATATTAACCAAAGGTATATTATAATTTATTACTAACACAAGTTACCTATTTCTTGGGATCTAATATCTTTTTCCAAGATAATTGCAATGTTTATTTATCATCTGTATTTTTGTAGTCAATAACATCTGTTATAATCATAATAAACTATTCACCGGGAATAAAAAATATTTTACCTTTTATTATTTTTTTAATCACCACGATACATGATTTATTTTTCATCACGTATTGACCGGTGGATTTGGTTCAAATTACGATTGTTATGATAAATTAGGCAATCTACAATATTCAATATTGTGTGAAAACATACATCCTTGAACATACAAATTCAAAACAATTATCAACTGAATCTCGATGAAATGTATACAAATAAAGTGAACTGATAAGCAAACAAATAATATGATATACACACAAGAAATACATTTTAATGACAATTTAAGTGTAAATACGCCAAACATCCTGGTGTATCCCAATTTATAATAATATCTCCAGGTACTATCTAATATTCTAATGCCTATCTAATTTAATTAAGAATCAATCATAAGAAAAATGCACAGATTACAATAAATTATCGTTTTAAATATTTATTTATCAAATCAAACTTATTTTGACGACAGTGACCTTATTTAAATAATCAACACTCTACCTACATCATAGAATATAGTCATAATGTTCACAGACGATTTTAATATTCATAAGTCATAACGAGATATGTGGGCGTTTAATGATGGATAATTGAGAAAGGATAATGGAAAGAATACCTATTAAAAAATGATATTATAACTCTTCTAAGTACAACACTCTACACGACTAGCCCACACAATAGAAATTCCTCTGGCATTTATTCATAATTTTTTTATTCAGCCTCAACTCAACGTCTCTCTTGGAAATTTATTGCGGCAATCATCTTACAGTTTTTGTTTCAGTTATACCTGCAAGCATTATGCAAGACACTAAACATAACCCTGGCACAAAAGGAATCTAAAAAAAAAATGTAAGTGGTAATTATAATATATAGTTGTAATAGAAAAATAAATACAAATGAAAAGCTCTGGTCAAATTGTTCACAAATTTAATTTAAAATATTGCCAAAAATGAGCTATCGAAAGTACACAAATAATTATAATTAATAAGCAAATGACGAGATGACAAGATTAAAACAGCAATACAACTAGAATAGATCATCAAAAAATAACAAAAAAGTCAAAAAACTATTTCGTTATTTTCAGTAAACTTCGAGCCCAAACCCAAAAAATATCTAATTAAAAATAGTGAAATAAATTCTTGGTACGAAATCACTTCAAGTTTAAATTTGAAAGTGGACCCGCCTAGTGTCTGGAAAAAAAAATAAAATCATTAAAAAGACTACAGCGCAACAACCAAGTAAATATATTAAACAATGAAACTAACAACACGGTCCCGTAATAAGAAGCAACGAAACAATTAGGTGAATACTGAAGAATTTAAATTATAGCACCAAATTTAGAAACAAAAAACTCAATACCAAAAACTTACCAATTCAGTAAAAAAATTCAAACAATACACAACAAATTCGACATAACAAAGAAAGTCCAATCAATGATTCGTTACATACCCTATCCGACGAAAAGTCCCGTTCCAGATCAAATACCGTATTGTTTTTTCCATCGTCTTACATCAAATGGTAAACTTTTTTATTCCATATTTTTAATGCATGTCCGTAGAATAAGAAAGAAAAGAGCACAATATAATTAGGAACTTCTATGGAATAAAAGGCCCAGATTGCCAACGCGAAAACGTCATTTAATTTCTCGACGTAACCGAATTAGCGAAATATATTTTACAAATAGTCATATTGTTTTTATTTCAGTTTTAAAGCAAGGTTTATTCCACATCTATTTGTTATTAATTAATCTCCCTTGTACAATCATGCAGAATAGAATAAAAATAAAGGCAACGATGCCTGCTGCCGAAGATTAAGATTAATAATAATGCAAAAAAAGTTACTTTTCATGCCAGCTTATATTTTAAATCTGTTCCCACAATATTTTAATGTAAATTGATATACCTGTTGTATTTTAATGGTTTTATGAATAAATAATAAAAACATATATTAGTAGTAATTCAGCAAATCTGTAAATGTATAAGATACTAATAAATATTATATCTGTGGCACCTGCATAATATATTAATACATGATACACATATCATATATATTAAAATATTATAATATTGGTTTGTTGTCAAAAGTTCAATACTCAAAGTAAACATAACAAGACCAGTACATCCTTTATACCTTTTGTATCATCATTTTTGTTTTCATATTTTAATTGAACGTCCCCCGAGTGAGTATACCCTTATAATAGTTACGACTCTCTTCGCTATAGCTGTGTTATTCCTTTAGGTGGGTTAGGTATTCTCAGCTGTAATGGCTTATTTGTATTGATAAACTCATGTACCAACCTCTAGATAAAATATGCAATATTAAATATCAATTTGTATATATATTATTTTGTAATATTGTACCTATGTAATAATCTAATAACAATACGTGTAGGTAATTGTACGGTTTATTTTATACTGTCGAAACTGTAATAGGGTACTAAATTATATGTTTTGTTTTTTTCAACCATCGGTTTGTAAATTCACGAATATTATAATCTACGGCTGGTTCGATTACGTGATTGAAATATCGAATATTGTTCGGTCGATCGGACAATGGTCTTGGATTTTATACTTTACGAAGTTATTCCAAGCATGTCATTTGAACGAATGAATAGCATACACACATATCGAGTGTATAATATAATCGCGCGTATTGATATCGTTGTCATCGGTGGATAATAAGAGCCGATACGAAACGATACTCTATAGCAGAGGTTCCCAGACTTTTACGACCAGGTCACCCTTAAAAAATTGTTTGTGTTTCGCGGAACCCTAATGTCTAATCCAACTCAACTACAATTTTTCTAAATAAAAAAAGGAAAATCAATTCTCTAAACTCTCAAGTCTACATAATATTATAATGATACTGTTAATGACTTTTCATTATTAAACTTGGTTAAAAAAAAATGTTCGATCAAAAATATTTTAAACAACAAACATAATTAATAAACATAATTTTCTCAATAATCTCATACATCCGGCGGAATCCTTGACATAGTCCCACGGAACCCCAAGGTCCCGCGGAACACACTTTGGGAAACGCTGCTCTATAGTATCAAAATAATATTCATCCTGGATCCACGCTGAACGCGATCACATCGTCATTGTGTCCGCTTTTTGGTACTTATATTATAAATCGTCCGCGAGACGTTGCAGTTATCGTGTGTGGCTTCGGACGGATCGACGTCTAGCGTCGGCTACAATAGTTCCCGATAAACAAAAACCCATGTATATAAACAGACATAAGTTATCTACACGATCCGTCTAGTTTGTCAGAGTGCAGTGGAGCGTGGACGACAACAGAGGTACACATCGGCAGTGTACACCAAAATGGTATTGTATGGTAAAAAAAAAAAAAAAAAATATTCTTCGAGTAAAAGTTTCGCGCGCCAACCACAAAAGCGAAATTTCGTAAAAAGACGATACCGTCGAGATTAAAAAGTATGAAAGTGGTTATCGAACAGTGAATAACTTATTTCTCGTTGTAACATATACACTGCTATACAGTAATCCGGATTCCAATCTATACAGCTATTATGATTGTGTGTTGTGTGCGCAATACCTACAATGTTCGACGGCTGGCAAGAGGATTCCAGTACAATACAGCATCGAGAGCTGCCCATTGCAAATAAAAAAAATATATGCATATAACTTTTCCAATTAAATCGAATAGAAAAAAAAATCTTTACATCATACATTTATAATACTAAATAGTAATATACAGTAGTAAATGGGCCGTTGTACTATTGCAGGAATTTGCTATGGGTCGTGTTTCGAAAAGCAAAGTTAAGCAACTGATTCATAATAATTAATAGGTATATGTGGTAGGTACATTAAATCGGCATCTAGGTACGGATATTGATGAGAGTTTGATAACAATACGTACTGTAATAAACTGAAAGGAAAAAAAAACATTTTCAGCTGATAATATATCGAATAAAAGATAATAAAATATATTAAAAACGGACACTGAAGTGACGTGGGTGCAGCGCAGCACTTGTCAATAGCAAAAATATTTCGTAAGAGTTGAAAAATCACCGTTTAATCTAAGGGTACGTTAAAGTCGATGTCTTAGTCTGACATTATATTATATTATTACGTTTCAATTCGTTGTAATGAGGAATCATCGTCAAGGACTTCACACTCGCGCATGTGATAAACACACACAAACAGCATTAACTTGCTACCTATTTGTGTATACAATAAACGTTAAATCTGCAACACACGTGTCACGTACCATCCCGTGTGCCCCCCCCCCCCGTGACCGAATTACACAAATGAATACAACTCAACCACAACCTATATCGATATACGTGACGATATAATATTGCATTTGATATTTCGCCGAAACTACGTGCCGCAGAAAGTTAATAGATTCGCTTTAAAGGAACGCAATAGTGTCTGGCCTGTAAGTTGGAGCAGATGTTTCACGAGTTTAACTTTGATCTATTAATGCTGCCGTATCCTATACTGCCAGACCGAGTCGACCGATACGTGTGCAAATGAACGACCGTCGGTCGGTTGTAGTAAATTATCGTGTCCAATCAATTACAAGTCGTAAAAATCGTGTGGTAAATAGCGTACGTCATACTCGGGACGTTATTAAAATCCTAAAGTATGGACGCATGAGTCAAAATCCAATTTAATATAAAAATTAATTCGTAAAAGAATGTAACGCATAATTATTATGATCGCGGCGAACAAAATTAAATATTTATTTACATGGTTTTATATTTATTTACCCTTTGTTTTAATAACTGTTCATTTGTACGCATGTACTATCAATTGCACACCAATTTAATTTATTATAATTAAAAAAAAAAAGACACTCATCACTTCTTGGATGATAGTGAAATAGGTACCCTTTGGGTAAAAATGATTAAATGGCATTAATATAATATGAATGATGTTCGAGATACATAGTTAGAGTTTTTCACCACTAATTGTTTACAGCAAATACACAATAATGCGAATACTGTAACCACAATAATGTACTTGTACTTGCTCCAAAAATGATATGCGCTAATATTACTATTTGTATATGACCACAAATGGGCTATTTACTAAAGATACTATTTTGACAAACAACCTGTGATCTATGCGGCGCTATTTACAATTTTTGCTCTTCGTGGGATATAATTTAAATCCGTTTCGACGGTTAAGTGCGCTTTTATGAAGTGTTCTACTGATACACTCTACGCACAATATTATTTCAATCGATACAATTTCGTTGGTTCTGACAAACTGTTACTTATCATAATATGTTAAACTGGCGTATACAAATTGGCATAATGATGTTAAACAAACCACGATGCAGTACCGCGACAGCCATTCAATCACACCATCAAAAAAAGAGGTATCAATTCCTTGTGTAATACATTTTAAATTGTATCATACGATTATAGCGGTTATGTGTATAATATACTACTTTATGTATTTTAAACTGCAAATCGTTTATTTGTTAATCAACGTACCTATATATGAAAACAGTATAAGTTGTAGTTTAAGAAATAATAATGATTTTTAAACTCTATGGTTTTTTTATAATGAATTGAAAACTAAATTTTGAATGAATTCTATTGAGATAAAAATAACGGAATATAATAATTCATTGAAAAGGCCAAGAGTTTTTTCTCTTATTCGTGGTTGTCTGGCAATATTATTATTTATGATTGTTTTTGAATTGGGTTTGTCTGTGGTTGTAAAAGTATAATTTAGTAAAATTATTTGATAACAATATATTATTCTCATTTTATTCAAACGGTTGTTGGTTTTTATTACAAGAACGAGGATTTCAAACAAGTTGACTGAATGAATTCGTTAACCAAACGAAATATAGTATAATGTAATTTTGTCATTTCTTTTTTTAGAAATTGGTCTTTAAAGAAACAAGTACAAATGTTTATGCATCTGTATGTGATTACGAGATTTTGTTGGAGATGAGAGGAAACAAATGTCTCGACTACAATATGTTTCATTTTATTTTATTTTATTGTCAGATACTCGTATAACCACGAACGAGAGACACAAAACAGATGGGTAAACGTCAAATTTTTGTTCCACCCTTATTTTTCCACTCGGAATTGAATTACCAAAGTAATTCTCGGGATAAAAATTATTCGTAATTTATACAACAGTTGAATACACTATTCGGAAATAGCGAAGATAGGTTAGAAGATTATCAAGTTTAAAGTTTCATACGGATAAGGCCTGAAAGTGGTAGTTTAATGGACGATTCGCTTGTGTAAAATCTACATTAATCTTATTATGACCCCGTGCGGTTGCTACAATTCAAATTTGAACTTGGTTGTAAAATGTTTAATTGAAGAGGAAATTGATGATTATTATATATTTTATTAAAAAAACCATTTGGAATAATTATTGTTATCATCTTGTACAAGAAAAGTATAACATTGTTTTAAAATCATAAGACGAGAAAAAATACAATTCAAATTTGTAAGCTCATACATTATACAATATTATAAAAAATGTTATAATATGAAATATATATAAATATATTTATATTTATATGTATATGGTGATTTAGAACTTGGTTTCGACAAAAATAAACATAAAATTAAACGATAAAACGGGACAAAATTCGTCTGTTGGGAGAATTTATAGATGGGTCGAAATGATATATCAAAGGTTGTAGAAGTGTAGGATACTCTGTATGATTACACAGCACAAATGAAAACCCCGATAACAGTTTGTATTGTTTCAGGTAGTCAGTAGTCACTGTGTATAATATGGGAAACAGTTCGCTCTATTTCAGAATACAATTTCATATGGTCAACAAATTTTATATTTTACACTAGATATTGCTTTTAAACGAATTGTAAATAAAATGTTTTGAAAATAGTGTTACCGATGGGTGGATTCTTTTTATCAGGCTAATTGTTTATTATTATAGCTTATACAGTTATAAACATATTGTGTACTTGTGCACTTGTGTACTTATTTAACACTATGGATTTCAAACAGTTATGAATAGTCGATTAAAACTAACATAATCAATGAAATATTTTAAACAAAAAAACTTAATATTATACAGGTAATATGAATGTATGATTTATTTAAATGTGTAAAAGTGCTTAAATTATCTCACATTAAATCACATACTTATAAGTCAAAACGGGTTTTAAGCAATTTAGAAATTAACACCTGGTAAAAACCCAACCTTGCCTAACCATGGACGTTGTATACAATTGTCTACATTTTATTTTTAGATATAAAATCGATATAATTTAGGTATACAACTATATTATAGTGACCATATAAAGTTTTCACGATACGTCTTATCAAAAACCTTTCATAATAATGTGTAAAGTGCCCTTGGTATGTATATAAAACAATATTTTATACTGAAACAAAACTGTGTCATTTGAATTATTAAACGAACTACGGAGAGTCGTGTATACTCCTCCTCCTCCTCCTCCTCCTTTCTATATCAAAAGTTTCAAGTTAGCAGAATCTTGAAAATAACTTTTTCCTTATTATTGCTTTATAAAAAAATATTTTTATCAGTTATGCAGATTAGCAAGGTTATAAAATAATTCAATGTCAGAATTGAGAAGTTCAACATTTTTTTTATTTACCTACATCAATAGATCGGCATGAATGAAAAGATAGTGCAATCATATGTAAAAACAAATTGATTAAAAATTACATTTGGTATTTAAAGGAAAACAAAACTATTGAAATCTTAAATTTCATTGATTTTTATTTTTTTTTAAATTATTGAGTAAAGGAATACCCAAGCCGTTAGCTCAGTTGAACAATTTTTTCCAACAATAAAGATTTATTTTATATTGCGTACATTAGGTCCGTTAACTTCCTAACACAAGTTACCAAGCAATACGGCTGAAATGCTGAAGTCATACCTATAACAGTTATTATTTTCGTATATTTTAAACTTTGAAGGGAATACCAAAATCTGAGGCGAATACACAGTAATCATTGAGTGATATAAACACTGGAATCCCATAAACTTACTATGTGACGAATCGCAATTTACATAGATATTAGTATCACCGTTTATTATGCACATTCATATTATACGTATTGTTTATATGATTTACTATTTGTTTCATATGAATATCTCCAACTATTGTCAAATAACATACACCTACACAGCATCGGAGGCGAGTTAACAGAATTGTTACTATGTTGTAACCTATTTCTGTGTTGACAACAATATGGTTACCTTAGCACAGGGTTCATACCCTTTCAGAATAATATTAAACTGATTTATTATCGAACACCTATGTACGTATTGGCAACAACGTAAACTAACGAATGTCAAACTCGAATTAACATTTTTCAAACCTGATTATATAAATTATAACACATTTAAACAAATATCAACGAAAACTAAAAATATATAAAATATAAGGAGAAATTTGTTTTATTTAAACCGTGGATGTATGTGTATTACTGTAAACACTATTAATATACTATTAATATCAATAAGAAATAAGATGATAATATCATTAAAGTCATGAAATAAAATACGATTTATATACAATTATTATGTTTAAGAACCAATCAACGTCATCCCGCTATACAAAATCTGAAAATACATTTTTAAAACGCTTAAACTAATAGTTATAACGTTGTGCGTATTATTTTTTTAAATTAAATTATATAAAATCAATAAACTTGCAATATTTACCGTTAACGCCGTAATATTAATGACAAAAATACAAATACCGAAAACCAATAGACCACCACCTGTGGGGAATCATCTCGAGTGGACAGATAAAAATTACTATAGATTTGTATATAGAAGTCGTGCCTTAAAATAATTAAATTTACGCACCTTGGCAGCATTCGACGAATACGGTTCGTCGAACATGGACCACAGCTGGGGCTTGAACCGCTGCCACCAGGTGAGTCTACCCTGAAAGAACGCCTCCTCGAAACCGAATTTTCGAGCCATCTCTTCGTCACTAGGCTTCTCCGTATCCAAGTCTAGCCGGTCCAAAACCGCGAGCGTTTCTTGCGTATCCCTGTGCTATAAACAGAAAGATCGAAAACAATGTATGAGTGCAACGAGTATAATAATTCGAACAACAATATTGCGGTTAACATAATAATATACATATATTATATAGGTATTAGGTACTAAATATAGTCGACAAAAGTTAAACGGTACAAAACCCATCGAACGAACGGTGTTGCTTTAGATGTAGATTTTAGAAAAAAGGCCCAGCTCGTTAATATTACAAAAATAACGAAAAAATTATTATTCAGAGTATGGGCAACATTTCCGTTTTTTTTAAATTAATATTTTCAGTTAAACGGCGTAAAAACTATACAGCAGTACAAGTTATTTTGGATTGAAAAATGAACAAACATATCATTCGGTGCTACTTAGGTATATCTCGGTTTTAATATGCTTCAAATGTAAGTGTTCATGGGAAAATCGGTGTTCGTCACTGTGTGAATATATACATTCGACTCAGGCCAGCAATCCGCCTGTGGTGGATTAGATAAAGCACTTTTGTATTTTAACGTTATTAAAACTACTCTCTAAATTTTGCTGATAAGTTAAAAAACAATATCTCACATTTTCGTCGAAATCGGTCATGTAGTTTTCGTGCACATAATACTCTCATTTTTTTCATACATGTAGTTATTATAGTTTTTATTATAGTTTTTATTAGTTCCATTTCCTTTAGTTTAATAAAAACTGTTTCGTTTAACTTAGTGATCTAAGTAGTTCAATGCAATGTCCACTACAATTGATCGTGGATTTTTTTCTAGATGCCAACGCTAGTACACATATTATAGGACAGCTGTTTTTAGTTTTCTAATTTCTCTCAATACTTTGAATAAGTTCATTAACACATTTGTCGTAGGATAGTATCTGTGATTAATAAAAGATTTGCGATAAGTCGAAATTTCTTTCGTCAACATATAATTACATAGTATTTACCCCGCAGCGGTCGATTGTCACTCACAAAAATATTTTTTAAAGACATGATCATAGTACTATTAGTTGCTTAGCATTGTTTGTATATTTTTGATTTAAATCATATCGTCGATGGTGTAGCGTAATGGATTTTAATAATGCGAGTTAACAAAGAGAAAGAAACGAGTTTTCTATGTCATACTGACGAATGATTTATTAATAACAGATACAAATAAAAATAACACTGTTTACGATGAAAAGGGCACACGACGGGGAGCCGGAACCTATCGAAACAGTATGGCAGTCGGGGGATGATGTGACCGAGTGGTCTGACGCGTCCGCTGCGACGCAGCCGGTCGCGGTTCGATCCTCGGCTACCGGGCGGCATTTTTCTCCGGACAAGTCGCGGTGACCGGAGAACAAGTGCTGCCATCCCCCACCCCCGGGGCATGGCAGAAACCTACGGGTGCCCCATTCGAAATTCTGCCAAAANTGCCCCATGAACTGCGGCAGTATATGGATCAGTGCAATGCCGGAATACTCCGACTATTACACTATTGACCGATATAGATACCGTCCGATAGGTTTTTTTATTCGGATGTTTCTACCAGAAGTGCGCAAGTCTGCCCGGGTGGGTCTCGCAACACATCAGGTAGAAGACTGGTGCTTGGTCGTCGGTCGTGCGGCCTTTTATATGCTGGTTATCGGCGATTATTTCAGCCGGCCTTGTGTTCTGTGACAGACCGGTGAGTTATCGTGACAGAAAACCCGAAACCGCAAAAGTGCAATCGTCGATAAACGCATAATAATTATATAATAAAAAAGGAATGATATTGATGATCATGCTCACGGTAGATAATAAGAATAACAATAAGAATACTAATAATAACAATTATAATAAATACAAGGTGTGCGTTATCTTCGCGACTGTGCGTGTGAACAGATGGTATTATACCATCGAAATCCAAAAGGAAATTAAGAACGTTAACGTTATAATGTCAATGTGTGATGAGTGAAAAAAAATGGCGTGGTTGATACGTCTCAAACATACTGGAGGAATTCAAAATAGCTGGTGCTGTAATTTGCCAAAAAAAAGGTCATAATTAAGAAAATTTAAACTTGAAACGTTGTCTCCGGAGACCTACACCTGCCCGTTGAACACAGGTAAATGTACCTCATCAAAAGCACAACCTTTTAGAGGAGCTCGCATTGTATAATAACAAGTGACACGCCTAACCCAAATAGATTTTAATTTAATTTCACCGGCCGTTCGCGTGGAATGTTTGTGTTATTATGTGGCGTTGGTTTCAAACGAACGAAATACCTTCATAATAATATATTATATTGTGGTAAAAACCGGGGTTTGGGACTGGCCAAATTAAGCCGATGCCAGATATCACAAATGGACGTACATGGAAAACATATCTAAAATCCGATACCTACCACAAATTAAATTAAAATATAATTCAAAAAACAATGTGGACTAAGTGTACACCTTTTTTATTTTGCTGCTTTGTATGGCCGTAACAGTTAATGATACGTATTTTAAATTTCGATTCGCCACAAAAACGTTTAACACCACCAATATCATGAATACCATATTGATATCGTTTTAATAACCATAATACACATGTAATGTGCACTTTTGAGTAATCACCAATTGGTTATGAGACTAACCTAATCACACTTTGCCTAATGCAAATCCAACAATTCACCGTTTGTGGCTGGAATATTATGAAATAATCCTGTATTTTTTCAATTTGAAAATATTATTAATAACTGGTCATATATATCAGGGGTTGGGTTGGGTTAACGAAAAAAGCAAAAAATAATATATTTTCATAAATGCTGGTTGAGGTGATACAACAATCATCCGGCAAACATTCAACCGCGACATTTTTGAACGAATTTTCTTTATCGTTTCCGAACGGACTAGCTTTTCTTTTATTGTACTACACGTATACACAGACGTCCTAGACTACTCGTGCTGCGATCATCCACGTATAGAGGATGAAAAACTGTTTTCGTTTTATTGCGTTCTCGTTTTGCGTTCGTGTAAACCCGACCTGTTTGTGGGATGGAAAGAAAAAACTAAATTGCACGCGTTTTCTCGGTATCCGTTTGGAAACCGCGCGTGGCGGTGGAAATGTACCCCCATCCCCTTTCGGCAGTGGGTCTCGCGACCAGAATACTTAAACGGAATACACACGACCCAAAATCGGTGAATTGCGCTCTGAGTCCAACCCCTGGTCTTGATCGTACACTCTTGGAAATTAATAACAATTGAGTCAAAGTGTTTTCCTGAGAAATAATTTATTTTTCACCCGTTGTATTGCCCGCCGTTTGATAAATAATACGCACGGTTTATTACATCACACAAAAGCAAAAGAAAAACGTTTATTTGAAAAAAAAAACTCCGTAAGCATGACATATAATGATATTTCATGGACGAAACAACCAATAATGCGTTCGTGGGAAACGAATCTAGGAAAAATAATCCCCGGAAAAATATCTCTCGAAAAAAAATTCCCATGGCAACTAGATACTTAGTTATAATAGTGCACTAAAATATATTAACTTAAAACTATTGACGTTGCACAGTATTTACATTGTTCTATAGGTAGTCAGTGCATTGCAATAATACAGTAGATAATAGCTATTATAATACATAAATTATTGATAATAATGTTTCAAATCTTCCTGACAAATAAAATGTATGCGATACTTGGGTTAAGGATATTATTTAAGTTTTAAAATTTTAATATTTTTGACTGGTTTATTATATCCATTAACAGTATGCACACTTCGTGATATTAGTGGGTTATAAAAGAAAATGTTGGTCGGGCTCGCTTGCGGATGTTGTTGGACACAGCTGTCAAAAACTCTCTATTAAATTAAATTGTTATTTTAATTTAGTCTTTCAGCCAATTCTTTCAGAAGGATGTTGGTAATTTGATTGTTGAGTCAAGTAAGTACAGATTATAATCATATTTCAAAACAACTTGAGAAACTCCAACTGTAATGACTAATAAAGTTCAAATATCATATAAACACTTTGGGAATTTTCAAATTCAAAATTTTATTGCTCTACACAAAATGCATTATATACTTTTAAGGAATTATTATTTCATTTCAAAACATTTTTCGAGGTGATTTTTACAAGGATTTTTATTCCGATAATATTATTTATTCTTACAAGGAAATTTAATTTTTAATTGTATAACCATATTTATATTCATAATATTTACGTACATTTATTATTTATAATCATATTCCAAAACTTTTTCGTTAGTCTCGGTTACAAACTTAAAACTTTACATTCATAAAAACTGTTAAAGTTTATATTTCGAAACAACGCTATAAAAGATTCAATTACCAAAATGAAAAAAGAAAAGTACATTGCTAAAATACGGAAACTGAATATCAGGGACTCGTTTTAATTTGCTCAACTTATTGTTATTATTTTAAAAAAGAAAGCTACATATTTAAGACATGAATATTTACCCAGTACAATATTGTTGATTTAAATATTTTGTAAAAATGAAAAAAATACCAAATTGCGGTGTTCGATACCAATGTGGATTAGATATTAGATTATAAAAGCTGGTAAGCCGCAGTTTGGTTTAAAATTTCGATGTTGGACAGGTATCAAAAGCAAAAATGTTAACGAATGAGGGCCAAACAAATGGTTGCAGTACATTTTATCAAACGTGAACTAAGTGCGAACGTGAACATTAAAAAAACTATTACATTGTCCTGAAGTCTATTAACTTTAATCTGTACACATTTTGGAGATTAAAAAAAAATCGTTTATGACGTAACATTACACCAGATAAGGTCGAAATCTAGTATTATACATAAATCATGATTATACAGTTTCATCGCATCTAACTTGAAAAAACCAGTTCACATATAACCGAGAAGTTTTATAAAATATAAGAAAAATGCATCACTTTTAGACCATAATATATAAGGCACAGTCGGTTAACTGCCGGAGAAAAATGTTCTCAAAATGCATTTATTACAATGTAGTATAAAAATATAAAAATACTAATAATTTCACTTAATGATGTCGCAAACGTTTTTGTTCCGGTTACGAT